CCCACCGATCATCCACCGCGACCTCAAGTCCCGCAACGTCCTTCTTGACTCGGTCAAGGGCACCAAGCTCACCGACTTTGGTGCTTCCCGCGTCGCAGAAGGCGACGACACTATGACCAACGGCATCGGGACATACCAGTGGATGGCGCCGGAAGTCATCTCGGGCACCAACTATGGCGCACCCGCCGACATGTACTCGTTTGGCGTCATCTTCTCTGAGTTTGCGACGCACCAAGTGCCATACGCCGACCTGCGCCACCCGGACTCGGGCAAGCCGCTGCCGCAGCACTACGTCTTGGATCACGTCCGTGAAGGCAAGCTACACCCGACGTTCGACGGCGAAGGCGTGCCGGCGTGGGTCAAGGACATTGGTTTGCAGTGTCTCTCCCTCAATGAAGACGACCGGCCGACAGCACTCGACGTATCGGCGATGCTGAGTCTGTACGGGCCGTGAGCCAGACCGACTGGTGGTCGTTTATTGTTCTAGCATCTTGAGGGTTTTAGCAACTTATATGTGTGTGGACGTGCTTTTGGTTGTGGATGATTGCGCCGCTTGGCACCCAATGCCTCGTACGCGTAAGGTGCTTCGAGGCCTCGGGCAGCGACAAGCAAGTGCAGCATTGCCAAATTTTTTTCTGAGCTTCCGATCTACGCTGAGCGTCCGCCACGTAGATTGTATCCGGATGTGCGCTCCAAAGGTTTTGCACCGATTCTCTGTCAGCGAAGATTGTTTGTGTACAATTGTACGACTTTGAACGACTGGAATGACGTTTCGCTGGTTGGATAGACAAGGGCCAAGATGATGTCGATCACACAGCTCCCTCCAACGATCCATCTCTACCCAATGACATCGTATCATGAGTGCCAAGGATATATGAGAAGCATTTTTGTCTCAGCGCACAGGAATGTAATATTGGACAATTGGACAGCGTGGATGGTCGTCAGCTTTGCGTTCTCGCTGATGTACCTATTCCACGATCGTCGTAAGAACAAAACGCGGCGAGTTCGGACATGGCGACAGAGTCGTGAGCGAGCGCAAGTCGACGTTGGAGATCGTCGTAAAGTTGTTGTTGGCAATGTCCCTACGTAAACGTGTCGTAAACACCAAATTTCAGGAATCCAATGTCGTACAAAAGCTCGAGACCAGTCGTGGCCAAAGCGTTGATATCGGTGAGGTCGTTGGCAGAGAGCCAACTAGAGAACACTGCATCAATCGTTCATCGTGACAAAGTCGCCGTCACTTACAGTTTCTGGAGCGTTGGCGGGAGGTTCTCAGGAACATTGCGCAGCTTGTTGTTCTCCAGAGCGCTGCACAAGCTATGAGGTCCATCGCTTTCGATATAAAGGATGTACACAGCGTCAAGATTTGGTGGCCACACCACGCTGGACACATTCGTTGGGCTGTTGATGAATTTCCTAGCGCGGCTCGTTCAAGATAAAGTTGTACACGAAAAGACGTACAACGTTCGCAGAGAACGCCACTGCGTGGTGGCCGTCGCGTTCAGGTCGATTTTGGTCACATTGTCAA